CAATACTCAACAGACTCAGCTAAATGATACAACCAAGAAAATGGAGGAAATCGCGCAAAAATGCCTGGTCTCAACAGAAAACACTCAAAAGGTCAAGAAAAAGGTGGATAAAATAGAAAAACACCAAGAGATGCAAGATAAAAAGTTAATGATGCTTCAAATGGAAAAATCAAATTTAACTCTCTGATTTCAGGGCATAAAAGAACTGGAAAAAGAGGATCTTTGAGGTATTTTAGCGGACGTCTTGGCAACACTCACCGGCTGGGAAGCGGAAAAAATAAGCGAGGAAATGGATCTGGTTTACAGAGCCTATTCTAATTTTACAAGGTTGAATAACCTGCCGGCAGAAGTGGTGGTCAAGTTTACAAAGCAGAAAATTCGGGATCAAATACTAAAAGCATCTTCGTCAATGCCCATGAAGATTGGAGAGCAAACAATCAGGATTTTGAAGGATGTTCCGTTTGAAATTCGAATGAAAAGGAAAGCATACAAGGGACTGACCTTATTCTTGCAAAACCATCAAACTAACTACCGCTGGTTGATTTCAGAAGGGCTCACTTTCAAGTTCAAGGATAAAAGAGAAAAGATTGACTCCATCTTCAAAGCTCAAGATTTTTTGAAGAGGCACGCCAGCTCGGAGGAAGCAGCACTCGCCACATGGAAAGAATTGGACAGTGACAGAGACAGCGGCTCGGAGGGAGAAGTCAAGACCCCGGAAGATAAAGGAGCAGGAAAGGGTCCGTCATACAATCTGAGAGACATGAAAGGGAGGCTGCCTAAACCATGAAGACAAGTTCGGAAAGCGCACGAAAAGACTTTACTAACAAAAACCAAAAGGACACTGGCTCCACTAACAAATTTTATTTTCCTTACAGGTAAAGATGAAAGATGACTGACAGCTCGCAGAAGAAGCCAAAAGAAGATTTGTGGAGTACTAGTAAAAGATTAACATACTAATAATAATATCACCCAACCTTTTCTTTATCCCACTATATACCTCCTTTTTTCTTATAAGAAAAAAGAATAAACTCTCTTCTTTTTAGAAGAGTCAATTCAAAAAAAAAAAAAAGATAGTGCCTGTGCTAACTATGGACATGAGTCACATTGGGCAACATTTTTTACTGTTGCAGGAAAATATGAAGGAAAATCACACTGGAAAACACCCATCTCTTTAAAGAGGCCCCTAATCTATCCTTCGATAACATGATTTTCAAGGGGGGAAGGAATGTCATAGTTGTTTGGGTTGCCAAACTCCAGGTGGCACCTGGAGATATCCTGCTATTACAATTGATCTCCAGATAATCAAAATCAGTTCTCCTGGAGAAAATGGCTGCTTTGGAGGGTGGATTCTATGGTGTTGTACCGTTCTGAGGTCCCACTCTTCCCCAAAACCTTGTCCTCCCCAGGTTCCACCCTGCAATTCTCCAGGTATTTCTCAACCCAGAACTGGCAACCCTAATAGTTGTGGTTCAGCCCAAAACTGTATAGATATTTCCTCATGTGGCACATGGATTTTCAAAAGCCACAATCTTCCTTAACAATAAACCAAGTCAAAAAGGTATCGGTCTGTCTGCCTATCACTCCAAACATCCCCAAACTTTCCAACAATAGCATCAAAATTCTGCCTTAGTCAAATATTTTCAAGTCTGTATCCAAGCCTTTTGGAACAGGGGGCTGAGTAACAAAAGATGAATATTCAACATTCCCTAGGGTTGTTATGTGGAGCAGACAAAAGCCCTTAGTAAAGTCCATCCAATTTGTTTCTTTTGTTTGATACTGGGTCTTCCTGTGTCTCAGGGAGCTATGTCTAAATGGTTGTCTTTTCACATTTCCCTTCCTGTGTCTCTGGCACAACTGTCACTTGAAAGCCACTCGAAACTCCAATCTACTAGAGATGTCAGTAGTGGCAGGCAGCCTCAGATTGGATGAAATCTACAGAACCACAGTGAGCTTTCTTCATTCCGAACATCCCTGCTCTGATCAACGTGAGGCCAGAGATCAGATAAGAGAGCTTTGCCTAAGATGTGTCTAGAAGATACACTGTTTTTAAGTAGACCAGCTTATGATATGCTTTTCTTCCTTCCTTCCTTCCTTTCCCCCCGTGCTCTCTTTCCCTCTCCCTGTGAAATGCACTGACTCGATGCGAGACAGGTGAGTGGCAATATTCTCTAACAGGTGATTTCAGATGTATATGTCTGGGACTAGACCTTTGAGCATTCTCAATGTTCTTATCCTATGTAGAAGGAATCCATAGAGAAAGGAAAGGAAGATAGATAGGGTTTAGGAGTGTGTTCTATCATATGTTGCTTTAAAAAAAAATTGTGTCAGATTTCTTAGTATCCAGAATTAAAAATAGTTGTACTCAGGGCTCTTTTTGTAGAAAAAGCCCAGCAGGAACTCATTAGCATAATAGGCCACACCCAACAGGAGAAACTCATTAGCATATTAGGCCACACCCCTGACAGCACAGCTCATTAGCACATTAGGCCGCACCCCCATGTTACCAGAAGTGTGGTCATCCATCCACACCCACCTTTTGCTTCTTATTCTGTTTACCTTGTTTGTTGTCAAAACCCAGGGCTTTTTTTGTAGCAGGAACTCCTTTGCATGTTAGGCCACACACCCCTAATGTAGCCAATCCTAATGAGTTCCTGCTGTTGGGTGTGTCCTATTATGCTAATGAGTTCCTGCTGGGTGTGGCCAACTTGGGAGCCAGCCGGAACTCCGTTCCTGTGCATTCCGGCCCAAAAATAGCCCTGGTTGTACTCAGTCCTGACTTTGGGGCTGTTCCGAGCCAACGGGTGCAGTCAGTGGTGGTGGACAGGGAAGAGGATGGGAGAAAGGGCAGATCTTCTGTGAAAGTGGCTCACGTTCCACCTCCTGCTCCGTCCACCACATTGTCTTCCCCCTCCTTGGAGGATGGTGTTGGGAACTGCACCTCCTCTTCACTGCAGCCCTGTCCAGTAGGGGTAGTGACATTACCAGGTTCCCAGGTATGTCACAGAACAGCTTACGCATAGGGTTCGGAGGAAGTGGGTGGCCTATACCTAGTCCCACCTTCCCTTGCTGCTTGGGTGCTTTCAACACCTTTTTTTTCCAGCCAGGTGGGTGAAAAAAATACTCAAACATAGGAGAAGAATACAGGGCAGGGCAGAGTTTAGGTCCTCCAACCACCACACTTTGATTTTGTTTAAAATATACTTTCTTTGTACATGGGTGGGTGTGGTTGCCTGTCTTACCTCCCATGTCGTGCTAATAACCACAGGAGAGGAATGTTTTATCTTGGGGCAAAGGGTTGGGTCCCTTGAATTCTGAGTCAGCAGTTCTTTCTCACATAGAGAAATGATCTGATCCTCCTCGTCACTCATCTCTTGTACATCATCCATTTGGTTTGTGTCTGTTTATGGGAAGGAGTGAAGGTTTATCCTCTGTCTCTGTACCTCATTCAGCCCTGGATTAACCATTAAGCAAAATAAGCACATGCTTAGGGCACCAAGGAAAGATGAAATATTGAAGAGGAAATATTTTTCTCAGTCATCCTTCTGTTATGGCTGTTCATAAGAAACGGCAGGCAGTGGAACCGCTAGCACCGGGGGGGGGGGGGGCAGCAGGGGCAACTATGCAACAAGACAGGCTGGACGCCTTGTCTCTGCTAAGTATGGAAACAGATTTGTTATGCCAGATTAGTTTTGTGGACTTGATCAAAGACTTTGCAATTAAAAAACATAGGAGAAAACTTTGTAAAGTATACTTAAAGTTATAACTAGGCAACAATAAGCATTATTTTGCATCTTTTGATCCATGTATATTGAAATGCTATTACATCTTCAAGGTTAGAAAGCAATGGAATAGAAGATGCTTTGTTTCGTACAAATGTTGATCTCTGTTAGAATCTCTTTTAAAAAATTGTCCACTAACATTGACTTCTGCAGAAAGAGGATTTTCAGAATTGGAAGTAGCTCTTGAGATCACATAATTTCAGTAGCGATAATGTCAAATTTTGCTTTATAATCTTTTGGAGGGTGATTAAAATAGTTTTCAATAACTTTTTGTTTGCATTTTTTCCCTTGTAACGATTTTATTAAAAACGCAAAAAAAGTGTTGAAAATTTGCATTTTTTCTGTTGCCCTAGTTATTAGTAAATAATTTGCTTGTATTGTTTACTGCTATTTAGTATTAAATATATATTTTTTAAAAATTATATTTAATATACTTGTGGGGTCTGGCCTGGGGGGAATGGCCCGGAAGAAAACTGAATTTTTAATCTCTCCCTTCACCTTCATCATTTATTGAGTCTTAATGACTTGTCAGTTAAGCAATGGAAGGGCCAAGGGGCACCATTGCTGGGCAGGGTTTAAAGCACCAGTAGGTTTTAATCTGGGCCTGTCCCCATCCCACCTGTCTGCAAGATATGAAGGTTATCTATCTTTAGGAAGGGATGAAGTTTGGGATCTGCCTTTGTTTTCATCCCATCTCTGCCAGCTGCTACAGTCTAAGCATTTCCCTCCATTCTCTGCAAACTTAGCACAGACTAGTTCTCTGACAGGCTGTATCAGACATCCTCCACAGGAACCCATACTGCCATTGCTGCAGTGGCAAGGCATGCTTAGTTGTATATCATACTTTGCTTACCATGTTGATGTTTCTCTTTCCTAATTTCCTATACTTCCTCTTTTTTTGACTGGCCGTATGAGTTGTTTAGCAATTCAAACAGCTCAGTTCTCCAGTCGGTCACTAGAATTATTTGTTCGTTAGCACAGAATTAGTATCATTTGGGTCTTTTTAAAAAGGACAAGATATCTGTTAGGATTGTACATATGCTTGGGATATTGCCATTTTTTTCATAACTGGACAATAGCTTTGATAATTCTACAGCAAGATGGGAAACCTAATTGGTTTTCTATCATTTAGGTGCCTCCATATGTCTCAACCGCTTTGGCTTTGTGAAACCTTCCAACTGTCAGACTCTTGAACAAACTTACTCCCAACAACACTCTCTTGGCAGTGATTTGTTTATTGAGAGATAAAGATGTGTCAAGCTAAGACAATCTGTGTCAGAACTGACCCTCTTGGAGCCAGTTCTGGTATTATACATAGTTCAAACAGACCCCCCACATCCCGTCCAATCATACCAATCCATCCAGCCCACCAAAATCTACTGTGCACTGTGAGCCCTCCCCAGCACCTGCAGTCTTAGTATCTACCAGTGTCTGGTGTCCAAGGTCAAGCATGCATTCTTCCCAGAGAAGGGAGGCCCTGCTTAACGCAGTTACAAGCTAGTGCGACTCATAGCAAAACAGACTCCACACCCACACACTCACAGACTCCCCCCCCCAACCAGAATGACACAGGACAATAGGTATACAGAACCAAAGTAATTTAAGAACTCCATGGCAAATGACACCTGAGTTTAACACAAACTTATTATCATTATTTTACTTGTTTTAATCCCTGTAGATGAGAGACTTGTCTATGAGAAACTGATGACATTATTTTATGAAGAGAACAGCATGACGGGATCACGAGGTAAATATTCTTTTATTCACAAGTCTGTAATGTGTGTTTGGCTCATTGATACAAAGAAAAAGGACTTATGCCTTGCTTTGCCCCCAGAGCTCCCAGAGATGCCAGGAGATGGCCTGGTATCCCTAGCTGTGATTGAGTGAACTGACATAATTCCTAGGCAATAAATTTCTAGATAACAAAATACCTACTTACCAGTAGCGCCAGCGTTAGCTAACCAGTGCCAGTATAATGTAAATACATAAGTAGACACAGAAAAGTGTACTCCAGAAATAAATTGATAAAATAGGCTTATTCTTAGAAAATCAGAGAATTTAGAACATAACGTAAAATATAACAGTATTAAAAATTTCATGGAAGTGAAGCTTATGTTTACATTAGTCAAGGGGTTATATATTAGTCAAGGGGGGAGGGGGGGAG